ATGKMRCYGATCCGSATATCCGGACCTTAAAATWTTGRTATCRGGATCCGYATCCTCTTTTCACGGATCCTAGATTTTACTATCCTTATCCGGATCCGGACTCCCTGGATATCCTAATTTTCGGAGCGATTCCGAACGAATAACGGATCGGATTCTCGGATCCCGGATAATAATTCTACCCCTATTACAAGGGAAATAAGCACGCGGCACAAGTGGTTTCGACGTAGTTTCTCATTATGAAGCTGCTCAGAAAAATCTGACAAATATTTTTTTTTTTATGTCATCTGATCATATTTGATATAATACAGATGACAAGCCTCACGAACAAGTACAAAGATCCCACCAAAAAGAAACCTCAGTTCTCCTCAAACTTACAACCCAAACACATTCCTATTCTTATGGTACATATGTTTACTATTACAAATTATCAAGCCAATTCATACATAAACCCTATTTACACCATATCACACTTCAGCACTCTTCCACTACCTCCAGACAGAGGGATCACCTTTCTCATCTTCAAAAAAATTCTCTTACATGATTGAAAGCGATTATCCTCAATAACACTTTGAGCCTAAAGCAATCTGACAAATATAAATAGGGTCATTTTGGTGTATAACCAAAAAAAAAATAAGTAAAAGTGGGGTATGTGGCAGAATAATGATGTGAGGTTTTTTGTTAGTTTTTAGATTATAATTTTTTTTTGTGTTATTTTTGCCAATTTTCCGTATATATATGGAGATCCACATTTATTTCTTTTTATTTGAACAATTTTTTTTCTTAAATGTAGATTTTATGTTGTACTAAACGAATATCAATCACAAAAGAAATAAAAAAGTCTAAAATAAAGTGTTTAAAATAGTTCTTGTGTATAGTTAAAATCAACCCATATCAAAAATATTTTTTTAGTATTTTTGTAAAATTGTGGGCAGAATGTTTTGTTTGTGACTGGAAGCTGAACGACCAAATTCGACGGGGTTCATGTCAAAGTTAATCCATTTCACATAATAAGGGCCGGGTCTCTCGAAGATCCATACTATTCCACATTTATCCATTTCAAAAGTTTAGAATCGTTAAGAGTAGGAGAAGCTAACGTATAACGAAAGACTCGAAAATGTATGGAAGACAAGTAGACAACATTACTCTAACCTAAAATGTACCACTCTAGCCACATGTACGTTTGCTTAAATGGTACCGCGATACACTTTCACGTCGGACCTACTCACAACGTGATTCATACAGAATGTCGACAAACAACAACATATCCCCTATAAGATGTTAATTTGGTATCTGAATCCGGTTGAGGTAAAATATAGAAATATTACTTTGGACAATTCATAAACAGAGAGAATCTAATTCGACTAAAAGAGCAAGAGATCAATTGATAATCCCAAGGTAAGAACATAAATCTAAAAACGAACGCATATCATTTCATGCAGCTGCCTCTTGGCTAGTGATGTATAGGCATGACTAGTGAAAAATGAGCTCCTTCGATAACAAATTAAAACTACGAGTAAGTGAGGAACAGAGCTTTTGAGTAACTCCAAAATCGAAACGACTGAAAATCATTGATGTTTAATGGCAAAAGAATACCTCAGTGAATATATATTTATTCAACAAATTTCATAAAAGAATATTAGTCTTACTGAATAACCAACGCGTGTCTGATTAACACTTTACAAAGACCATGTATACAAAACAACTAG